AGACTGGTAACCTCCAAGCAAAATTTTCAACTTCTTTTCCATCTTTGCAGCTCTCTTGGCTTCTGTTGTCATGTGACCCCTGTTTATCTCAAGTCTCTTTTCAAGTGATTCAATTCTGTCCTTTTTGCTAGCAAGATTAGCCCTTGTGTAGCGGCTCTGATTAGGAAGATATAGGACTTGACTGTAGCATTCTTTCCACACCTGGTTGTAAGCTTCACTGGAGAGTTCTCCATGACTCATTCCTTGTTTTACCACTTCCATCTCTTGTACCAGAACATCCTGGGCCTTTTTCAGTTCTTCTTTGGAGAACTTCCCATAAGGGCTATGCTCCAGATAGGTAATGTGCTCTGCATAGTTGGTAGCAAATATAACATTTTTTCCCTTTTTATTTCCAGATGGCTCCTAGGGGTGATGTAGAAGATCATAATGAAGCATCGTAATCATTTCTTTTTTGATCAGTTCTTCGGTTTTCTGTAAATCTGTTAGAGGTGGTTCTACACTTAAAGGTCTTAAAATAGTTTCATTTACTTCAGACGGTCTTGGTAGATCCTTCTGAACAGCTTTGTGCATTCGTTTCATTTCCTTTACATGCTCAGCATCTCGTATTGCCTGCCCTTGAGCATCCACATCAGCAGCATCTTTGATGTAGGTGTCATCTATTTCATGTTCTTCCAGCTCCTTCTCAGCATTTTCTGGTAGAACAATTTCAAAATCATTCTTAGGTGCAGGGAGGCCCAACAACCCTAGACGGAGATGTTCACGAGATTCTCCTTCCATCTGCTTCACCAAAGAGGGGTCACTATAGTCTGCCATTCCATCCTCTGGATTAATGTTTAATTTGTCTCTCAGTGGTGTTCTGTCTGGGGTGGCATTAGTGACTGGTTTGGGGGTTGTTCCACTCCAGGGAGTCAGCCCTTCAGCTCCATTAGAAGGAGTCCTGAAAGGAGTAGACAGAACCGTATTTGGAGTCTGTACAACGTGACGCTGTGGGGTCACACCAGAGAAGTCACTCTCGTGCAGTGGAGTATTAAGCCCACCTTTCAGTGGAG